TTTTTAAACAAGATAATGCAACTATTACTTCTGGTGATATATGAGAACTAAGAAAATTATTACTAACCGCGCTCTCAACCATTTAAACTTAATGCTACGTTGATCAAAATGTCCACCATTTTTACCTTCTGATCAGTTTTTTCTCTACACATTTAGCATCGAATTGAAACTGTGAAACTAGAGCCTGTAAGCAATCAGGGGCATTAAAATGAATTTAAAAAAAATAGGAAAAAATCATGCATCTAAACGAAAGTTTAAGGAGTATTGAAGTCTTAGATGTTTGTTTAGTGAGATGATGAGATGACGAGCGTTCATGCATCTTTGGAAACGCTATCCGTAAATTACCCGATATGAATTAGGAGAGGTTTTGTCTTACCGTTGGAGATCTCACAGATATAAGCAGCCTGCTTAGATCTATTGAAGTAGTCAATTATGCACTGATTGTCGATTGTAGACCCATTGAGTATAACAGCTACATTTCCCTTAAGTGTCGTCTGGTTTTTTTCCCATTGGCAAATAGTCAGCGGTCTTCCACTCAACCAAGTCCACATGTCGGCCTTTTTTTTCAAACCAATATGATAGGACTTAGAAGAGCGGTTTCGAATCTCTCTACTGATAAACATCCATTCTTCTTTAGTTTCGATGGAAACCAGGTCTCCGCCTTGTCTTCGGCAGGTGCCTTGATTAGCTTTCCAAGTTTTTCCACACTTTGAAAATATGTACCAAGAGTTATTGAAGGAAGGATTTTGACATTCTGCAAAACAAAAACAACATCAAAAAACTGATTATCTAACAATCACAATGCTTGAAATCAGAATGTTCATAATTTCTACAACAAAAGCAACAACAGTGATAATAACGATATCAATAAAAATGCATTTGATATGATAATGATGATGATAATTCGACTAATACTAATTACTACTACTAATTGTAGTAATGACGTCGACATGGTGATGATGACAACGAGCGCGATGATGATGGTGATGAGGATGATGGTAATAATAATGATAAAATACTTTTTGTTTAGTGTCATCTGATACATTTTTCTTTACTTGGGTGTCTGGCATAATTATTTAACTGAGATGAGCTTGTGGGTACAGCACTATTTTTACTTTTGAAAGCGTTGTTCTGAAAGAAAAGTTTCTTCAAGATCAAAATGCTAAGGGTGGTGTTTTGGATTATAATGTACTTGCAGTGTGAAATGTCTTGCTACCTCCGTGCATTTCACAGATATAGGCCCTTTTATTCTGCCAAAGGACTGGTTTGAAAAGGCCACCATTCTCGGATATTGCCGCATGTAATCTTCCTTTATGAGGTTTCGTAGAATTTTCCCACTTCGAAATGTTCAATGAGTTTCCACTCTCCCAAATCCAATCCCCAGATTTCTTTAATAAACCGATGTATACAATATATATATTGGTGGAGAAAAACATATCGCTAAATATATAATACTTATTACCTGACACTTGTAATTATGACGATAATGGTGACAAAAACTAAAGCAATGCTTGGAATAGGGTAAAGTTTTTTTTAAGCGTTAATTTTACTTTGTTTTTCCAACTCACATTATAAAGAAATTGCAAACCAATTAATGCACTTCCAATAGACAATCAATGACAGATTATTCTTAAACATCACTCAGAATTTTTTTAAGTTCCATTTCAGTTACGTAAGTTCTTAATAAAACCATGCTCTCTCACCTGTTCCTTGCAATTGTATCAGTAAAAGTAGAGTAACTGTAGATTACAAAGTAAACATATGCACAAATGAGTTATGGCAAAAACAGTATTTGAAACACAGTAAAATCAACCTAGAATAG